TTGGCAACACATCCATAATTCACAAGATCTAAGGGAAAAATGTCATTGACAACTGTCATTGAAGCTGATACTAGTGCTCAAGAGACTCAGGGTCAGAGGGTTCAGCAAAAGTCTATTGTGGTTGAGCAAAATAGGGTACTAAAGCAGCAAATGACTGAAATGTGTCAAGCATTGGCCAACGACCAAGGACCGTCCTTTTCTTCTCATGGTTTCCCAGAGTTCACACCCATCTCGACTACTGTTATTTCGGTCTGATTGTCTAATCAATCGTATCCACTTGGGTTTAGTCATTATTCCAACTGTACAACTACAGCTGGAACTTCTGTTTCATGCTCTCAAAGTTTGTCATTGACAACCAATCAGACAACCACTAATGTCATGCCCATCTTCCAGCCGATGGTGGTGCAGAGGAAAACTCATAAGTCATAATTTGCTACCCAGCAAGAGTAGTACTACTCTCCTGAGTACCACTCGTACCTATTTGATCTTCCTGCAAAGATTGAGGATCCATCCCAAAAGATGGCACAAGAAGAAATGACCCAAAGAGTGAAAAGCTTAGAACAACAATTGAAAAACATGCCAGGGTTGGCAGGTCAGAAGAGTATCGCCTTCAAGGATCTATGTATGTTCCTCGATGTCCACTTGCCACTCGGTTTCAAGACTCCCAAATTTTAAAAGTATGATGGACATGGAGACCCCATAACCCACTTAAAAAGGTATTGCAATCATCTCAGAGGTGCCGGAAGAAAAGAAGAATTGCTAATAGCTTATTTTGGGGAAAGCCTTACGGGAGCAGCCTCCGAATCGTTTATAGATCAAAATACCTCTCATTGGCATGTCTGGGATGACATGGCTCGGGCCTTGGTCAAACATTCCCAATACAACATTGACATTTCCCCAGACCGCAATTCCCTTTCAAACCTGAAGAAGAAACTAAGTGAAAATTTCAGGGAATGTGCCATTAAATGGAGAGAGCAAGCAGCTAGAGTTAAGCCACCCATAGATGACCACGAGCTAATCACTGTCTTCCTTCAGGCGCAAGAGCCAGATTACTTTCAAAACATGATGTTCGCAGTTGGCAAATCCTTCTTGGAAGCAATCAAAATGGGAGAAATGGTAGAGAATGGCCTTAAGACAGGCAGAATTATAAGTCAAGTAGCTCTCAAAGCTGCAACCCAGGCAGTCCAAATTGAATCTGGTGACACGAATGAGGTGGATGAAGAAATAATGATGACATCAGGGTCGAGAAGAGGTCCTGGGAGAACGTCTCGAAGGTATGACCAGCCTAGTCTATTTTTCGGTAACTCCCCTAAGCATTACTATCCCCCTCAGAACCTACAATACTATATCGCTCCACCTCAGTATGTTGTTAAACCACCAAAACAACCCAGAAGGCGAGCATCAGCACCTCAAAACCCCCCAAAAACCTCTACAAAATTTTCAAGTGCCCTATTACCCACATCCAAGCCAGGGTATAGAAGAGAACAAAGATTGAAAGATAATTTTAAGCTAATAGGAGAGTCCTATGCAAGCTTATTTGAGAAGTTAAAGCATCATGACATGATTGCACCCATTCTTCCAAATCATGTGGACCCACGTGCAAGAAGCTTTGGCCCTTCTAAAAGGTGTGAATACCATTCCAATGCCTAGGGGAACAATGTTAAAAGCTGTCAGGATTTGAAAAGAGAAATAGAAAGGATGATCCAGGAAAAACTGATTGTGATCCAAGACAGTGACACCTAGAGTATCGCGCAGAGTACTTTACCTGCACATGATGATGCACACTTTGTAGGGGTGATGCGTGGTGACATGGAGTATGAGAATTCTCTCGGGAATTTGCCGACTAAAATTAGAGAAGGCCATGGTGATTCTATGAGCAAATTTGTGGCTAAATGTCAAGCTTAGAAATTGAAAAGTCATTCTCTCCTTACTAGGAAGAAATCTTGGTAGCTTGTTTTGATGTTTTTTCTACTATCTGGGTTATTTCAGGGTTGTCATCCAGATTTTATTTGTTTTATTGAGTCAAACCCTTCTATCCCTTCATTCTGTTTGTGTGAGTCTTGTCAGTCTGTTCTATTGCTATTTTCATTATGTGGGTTATTAAACGGTTGTAACTCGGATTTTAGGTTGTTTGTCTTGTTGTCAAACCCTTTCATCTTTTACTCAATAAAATACAATTTGTCCTTTTGTGTCATTCTGTTCTTAGTTCTTTTCTTGCTAGTTCTAATGACATGAATGCATGCGGAAATTTTGTCCAGATTTTAGAAACTGATTTAATCTGAGATTGGATAGCTAAAAAATAAAATAAGATTTGAGGATGAATAAAGAGTTGAAATACTTTAGAATTAAGGTCGAGTAAAATTCACCTTCAAATCATTGTGAAAATCGGGATTGAGGATGTTTAATCAATTGAAGTTTGTTGGAAAGTTTGACAAGGGATGGAAAGTGTCTTGTGACCACGACACACCAAGAAGACAGACATGTTCGTCAATATTGTGATCGCGAAAAGATACTATATTTGGCGTTCTCGAGGTTGGGAGGCCCTTTTTCTGCCACCCAAACACTTTATACCCTTTGTCACCACTTTGAGTCTGTGTTATTTTCTTTGACCACCCTCTTTTGGAATCAAGTTTAGAGTCAAAAGTCAAAAAAAATGAAAAAAATGAAATAACAATAAAATTTCATGCCCCAAGAGTACAAACTAGGGCAACTTTTAAAAGCTCTAAGTAGAAAAAAAATTGTCAAAGGTCCATGCCCTCAAAAATAGAAGCTGGGGAAAAAAAAGAGAAACAGAAAGAAAGATGAAAAATAGTTTAGGTCAGATGAATCTTTCTCCTAAGATAGAAAACCTAGTTTGATGAATTTTCTCCTAGGATCGAAATCTTCGTCTGATGAATTTTTCTCCTAAGATAGAAGACCTAGTCTGATGAACTTTCTCCTAGGATAGAAATCTTAGTCTGATGAATCTTTCTCCTAAGATACAAAAAAAAAAGACCTAGTCTGATGAACTTTCTCTTAGGATCAAAATCTTAGTCTGATAAATCTTTCTCCTAAGATAGAAAACCTAGTCCGATGAATTTTCTCCTAGGATAATAATTTAAAAACAAAAAAGGAAGTCTGAATTTGAAAAAAAAGGTCAATTTTTAGTTTTCTTAAGTTATCAATGTTTATTTTTCTTGAAATCAGGGGCCCTGCCTAGAGAATAGGGTCAGCCTTTACTTTAGTCAAGCTTAATTTATAGTTTTTCGCAAGCTTAATCACTTTTAGGAGACGCACATCCTAGTCGAATCTTCAATTGCATCCTTCATCAATAGCATATGTAATTCATAGGTTTGCTAACAACTCACAAATCTTCCAAGTGCAAACTGGGGCAGAAAAGTTTTTTTTGTTTTGTTGTAATATTAGGTGCCGGGAGAACAAGGGAAAACAACTCAAGTTTCAAAGGAAAGCATTTAAGTTTCAAGGGAAAGCAGTTCGAGTTTCAGCAATCAGGCGCCTACCTTGAGAACAAGGGAAGACAGTTCAAGTTTCAAGGGAAGATAGTGCAAGTTTCAAGGGGAAGCAGTTCCGGGGAAACACAGAAAGTTTCAACAATCAGGCACTCACCTAGAGAACAAGGGAAAACGGTTCAAGTTTCGAAAGAAGACAGTTCAAGTTTTGGCAATCAGGCACCCACCTGGAAAATAAGGGAATTCACTTCAAAATGCAATTCAAGTCAACAACAAAAGAAGCTCGCGGCAAGAATGCGAGTCAATAGTCTGAGATGATCAAAGGAAGTTAGTCACAATCCAGAATTAAAAAAAGGGCAAGAAGTGAATACAAATGCAGAAGTTGATGAAAGATATGAGCTGCTCAAGACATGACTGAAGTCACAAGCATGGTATGTCCGGTCTTGATCCGAAAAGCTGAAGAAGAATGAACTAGCACCTGCAACTAGCAAGCGTCAAGGTTCAAATCTAAAGTCTGCATGAAGAACCATTCAAGACTCAAGATCAAGCTTCGGAAGACTTATAGATAGGAATCTTGTAACTCATAGGTGACAGGCTTAGTTAGTCTTTTTCATTTTGTGATTTGGATGTAATAATAGGACCACAGATTGGAGCCTCTACGGAACTTCACTCGACTCTCTAACTCGGCATTCCATCATTCTCCTTGAACTACACGCGACCTAATTCCCTTATAACACGGGATATGTAGGTTGTCCAAAACCCGGACTTGGTTGCGCCTTTTTCTTTCTCTTTTGAATAACGATATTGTCAAAAATTAGTCACATGACTCACTTTATCTTTGCCCGAAAACTCTTCGTGTTTCCGAACAAAGAGGGGCAGCTGTGAGCACCTAATTTTTGACTATATTTGAATTTTTCATCACTTTATAGTATGTAAATATTTTTAAAGTTTAATCTTAATATTTTAGTTTTATTTCACCTTTTATAGGTTTATTTTAGAAAAATTGAAAACAACAAAAAATAGTCACAATTTTACATATTAATTGTGTTCTTATTCTCAAAAAAAAAAAGCTTCCAAAATATATTTTTAAAGGGTCTACTCTATCCATTTCAAGTTGGATTTTAATGAATGAATTTTGGATATTTAACATTTTTTATCTTTATATATTTATCAAGTAGGAGTAGTAATTTATTTTATTAACTAAAAATAAATAAATAAATAAATAAAATCAACCAAAAACACACCAAAAAAAAAAGGAAAAACGTGAAAAAAGCAAAAGAAAAAATCAAAGAAGAAAGAAAAGAAGGTGGAAAGAGAATTAGATCCCTTACGTGGCCCCCATATATTTTGTCCTTAACTTCTTATTCTATAGTGGGTCCCACCTCCTAAATTGATTTTCCTCCATATCCTCTCAAAATCACGTGTAGTCCTTCCATCCAAAACAGAATTAATTCATTTTGGTCACAATTTTAATTTTTGGCATTTTCTTTTTAAGGGGGGACCATACACTAGCTTTCTCACCAAAATATAACAATATATAAAAGCACACACATAGAAACAATGAGAAAACGGACAGAACGAGAGGGGGCTAAGGAACGAAAAACAGAGAAATGGGGAGAGGGACATGAAAAACAGAGGAGGACCATTTTTCCTTTCTTCTTCTTCTTTGAATACATGACACACACTCATCTTCCTTACCTCATCTCTTCCTAAAAACTACCATAAAAACTATAAAGCTACTAAACCACCTGAAACACACACAAAAAAGACACACAAATAGAAAAGAGAACAAAAAGAAACAAGAGAAAATGGATCTGTTTGAACACACGAAAATGGAGTTCAGCAAAAGCTTACAAAAAATGGAGTTCATTGGTCTCTTTTCATTACTCCATTAACGTGGCTCCAAAGTAGTACACAAAGCAGCCATTAGAGCATCTGATTAGTTAAGCTTTATTCCACTCCTAAAAAATAGTCTATTCGAATCCATAAAAATCGTTCTCTGCTAGCTCACTCTCACCGGTATTTCGCCGATGTTTTCCCATCTCCAGCTAGTTTTTTTTCCCGCGTGAACAGTCCCCAAAAAAATCCGAAAAATCACTGCAAAGGCTGTCATTTTTCACACAAACTAAGTAGCTCCTCCGCACTACATCAACCACTACAAAATGAGCCGAGTTTGAGTCGAAGTTCGAGGTTGCCGGAAAGTTCCCGTTCATGGTCAGTTTTCGTTGTCCTTAAGGTTCATCCCTTTCACCTCCTGCTTCAATGAAATTTCTGCCTTGTTTAGCAAATATCCTATTGTTCTTGGGTTTACTTGTTTTAGTTGAATTTAGCATGTTTTTTTAAAATTTGAAAAGCTCACTCAAGGCCCACTTTCTTGTTCATTACTGCTGGTTTCATATTTTTGTTTGCCTTTGTTGATAGCTTTGAGTGTTTTATGTGTTTATTTCATTAGCTTTTTATACAAAATTATTTCATGTTGGCTATTGTATTTGGATAACGTTTGAAATTGCAAGAACATTGAAAGGCATGACTAAGAATTTTTATCCATGTGTTTTAAGATTTAAAAAGCTAAAAGATGAATTGGGAAATGGACTGCTAAGGCAAATAAAGTGGAGGATTACTTGGGTGAAATCGAGAAGTGGATTATGAATTTTCGGAATTTGTTTGGTTGCATAAGAATTAAATTTGGACTCGAATAAGTTAATTAAATTTTTGCGCAGCCCGACAATAATAAGAGACGTGAAAGCTAGCCCATCTTTTCATAATAGCTAAAATTATGCATTTCTTTCACAATAATTTCATATCCATAGATCATGACCTCACAAAAAATCTCATAGTTTAGGAAGAATAATGAACACCTTAAAGTGCTTTACGCTCGCTTTTAATTGATCAATCGTGATTATATATGTGTTCGCGTAACATAATTGTAATTCCAAATTAACACCGGAGTACGCATTCGGGCGACTTTGGATAGTTAATCTCAATAATAACAAAGCGTTATTAATTGTGGACACGTTCGTGTGATATGATTTTTGACGTGCCAAATAAATAGGTACACGTGCGCGTGACCCATTTTAAGATAATTCCTTAATTAAAAGAGGCAAATGCACATAGGTTCTAAAATGAGTAATTAGACAATTTGATTAAAGCCAAGTATGATCAAAGAAACCATGCTAAAACTACGGAACTTGGAAATGCCTAACACCTTCTCCCTGGTTAACAAAATTTCTTATCCGAATTTTTGTGTTCGCAGACCATAAATAAGAGTCAACTTCCTCGATTCGGGATTTTAAACTGGTGTCTTGGGACACCATAAATTATCCTAAGTGGTGACTCTGAATTTGATGTAAATAATCTTGTTTCGATTGTCACTTAAATTGGAAAAAACTCCCTTATATATCCTTTTGGGGTGTAAAAAAAGGAAGTGTGACAGGGGTAAGGGCCTAACCTTATTTGCCTTGCAGAATTATGAGGCACGAAGTCCCCAAATTTGGCATGGTCACCAATATCCACTCAAGATTGTTGAGTTGGTGGGAAGATTTACATTCTAGTGACAAAGCCCTCGTTAGAAAATATCTAGGTAATCTACCATCCCTCCTAGAGATCCAGCCTAACAACATGATAATAGAGGCTGCTAACTTATTTTGGGATTGTAAAAGGGTCGTGTTCCGCTTTGGGGACATCGAAATGACATCTTTGCTAGAGGAGATAGGAGGGCAGGCCGGTCTAGTATGGCAAACCCCGGATTTGCTAATGTCTGAGAACCGCATAGGCAAGAGTTTCCTAAAAATGATTGGTTTGAAGAAGAATGCAGAATTGGAATGCCTAAAGGAATCGTACATCCTTTTTGACTACCTGTATGAAAGTTACGGTCATAGCAAATCATATTGTACCTACCATGACGAGTTTGTCATCACATTCTTGGGACATATCCATCGTAGGGTATTCGTCTTCATGTTTTACTTCCTGGGTCTGATCGTGTTTCCAATGAAGAAAGAGAGGATCCATACTAGGCTGGCTATGGTAACCAAGACCCTAATGGAGGGGATTGGTGGGCAGACATTCAGCACTGTACCCATGATCATCTCAGACATATACCGAGCCTTAGAAAAGTGTCAACGAGGAGCGAGACACTTTGAAGGCTGCAATCTACTACTTCAGCTTTGGCTCATGGAACATCTCCAAAAGGGCAAATACCGACAAGAAATTCAGCGAAGGGCCTGGGATGACCACACGCTTTCCACCATCCAAAGCGAATGAATTACATCCCCGACATGTTCACTCAGCCTGAGAATGCCAAAGAATGGGTTGAGCTCTTTGATAATCTGACTGAAGAACAGGCTCAATAGATGTTCGAGTGGTTTCCGACAGAGGAGTTCATCGCCCGATCCAGAGATGCACCTTTCCTGATACTGATTGGTCTAAGAGGAACATACCCTTACGTCCCTCTTCAAGTTATGAGGCAAGCAGGTAGGAAGCAAGTCATACCCAGGGTTGACAAGATCAGCCATCTTCGAGCTGATTTCCAAAATGATGATAGTCCCCACAAGTGCCAATCCCAGCACATGTGGCACTACAAGATCGTAATGGAGAAAGACACCATTGTGCCAAACAGATATCATGTAGGTTGTACCCCTTTCTATTATGGTTGGTTGGAAGACAATTGGGATGGTCTGGGCAAGCCAGGATTCGTTCAAGGCCACAGAATTATAGATGAGAAAGCCGAGGCACAAGTCAAATGCAACCAGCTACGCAAAAGGATCCGTGAATCCGAGAGCGAACACCGCGAGATACACAAGTCCAACAAGAAGCTGATTGAGGAATGGAAAGACATGGCTATCAGTACCAACAAAAGTCTAGGATACTTTGAGCGGGGCATAGTAGAACTAGAGGGAAAATTTCTCAAAAAGGTTAAAGACTGTCAAAAGGCTGAAGGGACCAAAGGTGGACATCTAGCCAGAGCATACCTGTTGCTGGGACTTCGCGAATTGGGAAAACTGTTCGAAGGAGCCAAGGATGTCGAGTTTGGGGAAGGTCCTTCTGGGACCAAATAGATAGGAATTTACTTTTTCGCTTTATGAATGTAATAAGGCCAATGACAATTAGTGACCTTTATTTCTTGCTTATTTAGTGTCGTTTTGGGATTCGCCAATTTTTATCAATAAATAAGGCATTTAGCATTCTAAGTTGTCTAAATCAATTGTCGCTAGGCCTACCTCGAGCACAAAGAGGTTTCCAACTTAGGACACGTTTTACATTCCCGCACTATGTGTTTAAATATTGCAATACTTTTTATAATCCTCACTGACTTGATTACCTTTTGTTTTTGTTTGTTTGTTTTCTTTCTTTTTATTCCCCTCCCTAAAGGTTAGTTCGTGCACTTTAGCATCATCATCTTATTTCACAAGATCCATGGGCCCTCCACCCACTCCTCCTCCTAGTCTCTCTAAAGGCAAGAACCTCCAAGGAGGACCCATAAAACTCAAGAAACATGGCACTACCTTCGGTTTGGGATATGAATACACCTGGGAAGAATTCAATAGATGGTCAACACCATGGTGCGGTCCTTACTACCTACTAAGTCAGCCAATACCGTATCTGGAGCAGACCTTCCAACAGGCCGACATTATTTATGGGTCAAATGAAGAAGAACTTGCAGTAGTGAGAAACTTGTTTTTAGAGGACGGTGATATGGACTATTGCATTATTCTTGAGGAGGAGGGGGAGGAAGGCCCTTCCATACAAGCTGTGAGTAGAGGGGCACATCTCAATAATTAGACCATCAGGACAACGAAAGCCCGACGAGCCTCGGGGTAGCAAGGCTAAAACAAGCATTATTCACTGTTTACTAAATGATTTTCTTTTCGTACTTTTCAATTCCTGCAATAAGATTCAATTTATCAAAAACATTTTTGATTTTTCTTATGAATAAATATTTATTGCTATTGTTTTCTCTCATTACTTTACCTATACATCATTACTATTACTTGTATTGATGAACCAATGACTGTGACATGCAATGAGACAACCCAACAAACGGACATTGATTCAGAGGAAGATGACACACCTGACGAGATTGTCAAAGAAGTTGAGAATTTTGAGAACAGACCTAAGTCCAACCTGGACAAGACCGAAATTGTCAACCTGGGAGATTCAGAAAACGTGAAGGAAACACGAATCAGTATTCACCTGTTGCCATTAGAGAAGAAAGAATACACAGAATTTCTAAAAGAGTACGAGGACATATTTGTCTGGTCGTATGATGACATGACTGGTCTGAGTACGTCTATTGTGGCTCACAAACTGCCAACCAATCCAATGTGTCCACCGATAAAGCAAAAGCTCAGAAAGTTCAAGCCTGCTATAAGCTTGAAAATCAAGGACGCAGTTACCAAGCAAATCAACGTTAAGGTTCTCAGGGTAGTAGAATATCCGACGTGGTTAGCCAACATTGTACCAGTGCCAAAGAAGGATGGGAAAGTCAGAGTCTGTGTCGACTATCGGGATCTCAACCGAGCCAGTCTGAAAGACGACTTCCCTTTGCCAAATATACACATCCTGATTGACAATTGCGCCAAGCATGAGCTACAGTCATTCGTAGATTGCTTCGCTAGTTATCATCAGATCTGGATGGATAAGGAAGACGCTGAGAAAATGGCTTTCATTACACCGTGGGGAGTGTACTGTTACAAGATGATGGCATTTGGCCTGAAGAATGTAGGGGCTACCTACATGAAGGCCATGACTACCATTTTCTATGATATGATACACAAGGAGATCGAGGTATATGTGGATGATGTTATTATCATGTCCAAGAAAGCCACTAAGCACATGGAAGATCTGAGGAAGTTCTTCAATAGACTACGGAAATACAACCTGAAATTAAACCCCCGAAATGTCCATTTGCGGTTCCTGCTGGGAAATTGCTTGGGTTTATTGTGAGCCGTCAAGGACTAGAACTGGATCCATCGAAGGTCAAAGACATTCAAGAACTACTACCGCCAAGGAACAAGAAAGATGTGATGAGTTTCTTGGGAAGGATTAACTACATCAGCCGAGTCATAGCACAATCTACAGTTATATGTGAGCTGATCTTCAAGATGTTAAAGAAAGATGCCACCACCAAATGGACCAATGATTGCCAAAAGGCCTTCGATAAAATCAAGGAGTACCTGTCAACACCACTAGTCTTAGTCCCGCCTGAGCCAGGTAGACCCTTATTACTCTACCTTGCAGTGTTAGATGGAGCTTTCGGTTGCGTTCTGGGGCAGCACGATGAAACAGGAAGGAAAGAGAAAGCCATTTATTATCTCAGTAAGAAGTTCACCCCATACGATGCCTGATATTTTCTATTGGAACGTACCTATTGTGCTTTGACTTGGGTAGCTCAGAAGTTGAGACATTACTTCTGTGCCTATACTACATATCTCATATCGAGAATGGATCCCTTGAAGTACATTTTTCAGAAGCCCATGCCCATTGGCAAGCTAGCCAAGTGGCAAATCCTGTTGAGTGAGTTCGACATTGTTTACATAACTCAGAAAGCGGTCAAAGGACAGGCACTGGCAGACCACCTTGCTGAAAACCCCGTGGATGGAGAATACGAACCCCTGAAAATATATTTTCCTGATGAAGAGGTATCATTCATAGGAGAAGACATTGCAGAATCCTATGACGGTTGAAGAATGTTCTTCGATAGAGCAGTGAACTTCAAAGGAGTTGGCATTGGAGAAGTCCTAATATCAGAAACGGTAAGCATTATCCGGTGTCTGCCAAACTCAGGTTCCCCTGCACCAACAGTATGGCCGAGTATGAAGCATGCATCTTAGGACTCAAAATGGCCATTGACATGAACGTTCAAGAGTTGCTGGTGATTGGAGATTTAGACTTACTTATACATCAGGTACGAGGAGCATGGGCAACCAAGAATTCCAAGATACTCTCGTATCTGCACCACGTACAGGAATTGAGAAAGAGGTTCATGGAGACGAAATTCCAACATGTTCCCAGAATTCAGAATGAGTTCTCCGATGTATTGGCTACCCTATAATCTATGATACAACATCCAGACAAGAATTTCATTGATCCCATTCCAGTGAAAATCCACAATTAGCTAGCTTAATATGCCCATGTTGAAGAAGAAGCAGAATAAAGCCTTGGTTTCATGATATCAAGGAATATTTGGAAAAAAGAGAGTACCCAGAGCTTGCAAATCCTACTCAGAAATGCACACTTCGGAGATTGTCCAACAACTTCTTTCACAGCAGAGGAATTCTGTATATGAGGACTCCTGATTTAGGATTATTAAGATGTGTCGACACAAAGGACGCATCCAAGCTACTAGAGGAAATTCATGCGAGGACCTGCAGTCCATATATGAATGGTTTTATCTTAGCAAAAAAGATACTCCAGCCGATTACTTTTGGATGACTATGGAAACGGACTGCATCCAGTGTGTCCAGAAATGCCACCACTGTCAGATATATGTAGACATGATAAAGGTACCTCCAAACGAGCTTAATGCAACAAGCTCACCGTGGTCGTTCGCCGCCTGGGGAATGGACGTTATTGGACCAATCGAGCCTGCCGCTTCCAACGGACACTGGTTCATCCTAGTAGCCATCAACTATTTCACCAAATGGGTCAAAGCAGCATCTTACAAAGCAGTGACTAAGAAAGTCGTGGCACACTTTGTCCGCAACCGTATTGTTTGTCGATTTGGAATTCCAGAGTCAATCATTACTGATAATGGCTCCAACCTCAACGGAGACTTGATGAAAGCTATGTGCGAAACTTTCAAGATCAAATAAAAGAATTCCACATCCTACAGACCTCAGATGAATGGAGCTGTAGAAGCCGCCAACAAGAATATCAACAAGATATTGAGGAAAATAATAGAGAAGCATAGACAGTGGCACGAGAAGTAATCATTTGCTCTACTGGGGTATTGCACCACAGTCCGCACATCAACCGGGGCAACCCCTATATGTTGGTTTACAGTAAAGAGGATGTCATTCCCACTGAGGTAGAAATTTCTTCCCTAAGGATCATACAAGCAACTGAGCTCGGCGACGCAGAGTGGGTAAAAGTTGTTATGAGCAACTAGCCCTTGTAGATGGAAAGAGAATGAATGCATTTTGCCATGGTCAACTCTATTAGAACAGAATGTCCAGAGCCTTCAATAAGAGAGTTAAGCCAAGACAGTTCACACCGGGGCAGCTAGTGTTGAAGAAAATTTTTCCACATCAAGATGAAGCCCAAGGGAAGTTCTCTCCAAACTAGCAGCGTCCATACATGGTTCACCGAGTTTTGA